TTGAGTTCCCAGTGTCTGGAACATAGTAAGATACTCATTAAAGACTTGTTTAGTGAATGAAAGAATTTATTTTCTCTGCCTACCAGTCTTATAAAAATAGAACCTTTTTTTTTTTTTTTTTGAGTTGGAGTCTCACTCTTTGTTGCCCAGGCTGGAGTGCAGTGGTATGCTCATGGCCACCACAGCCTCGACCCGCTAGGCTCAGGTGATCCTTCTGCCTTAGCCTTCTAAGTAGCTGGAACTGCAGTTGCATGCCACCATGCCCAGCTAGTTTTTTTTTTTGTGGTTTATTTTAGTGACGAGGTCTCACCAAGTTTCCCAGGTTGGTCTCAAATCTCTGAGCTCAGGCAATCCTCATGCCTCAGCCTCCCAAAGTGTTGGGATTACAACTTGAACCACCATGCCCGGCTGGTAGAACCATTTTTATTTATGTTATGAATATTAAAAAAAAAATGAGTCAACATTTAACCCTAGTTCCTAAAGTTCAGTAACAATTTATGTCTGATGGGTCAAGTTTTTTTCCCCCCATAAAGATACACTCATCTCCATTTCTGAAGGATTAAAGGTGATATTGTAGAGAGACCACTATACCTGGAATCAAAAATCTTTAGGATGAAGCTCCAATCTGTTATTTAGTAGCTCTATGATCTTGGACAAACCATTATGAATTTCAGTTTCATGTAAAATAAATATAACTTCTCAGTCGTGAGAATCAGATAAGATAGTGTATATAAAAGTTCTTTTTAACTACACAAATGTTTAATAAATTTATGTAGACACATGATTACCTATAATTCCAATTATGTAACATTCATTGTATCCTTTTGTTGCATATTTTATGCAAAATTTTCTTATTTTAAACAATGATACCTTCTTCCTTCACTTCATTTACTCCTGTGCCTGCCCTCAGGTAATTCAAGTTTAATTTCATTTTTTTCAGCAGATTCAGGAGTCAGATGAAAGTAGATTTCTTTTAGTGAATAAATTAGAAAAATTGAGGCCATTATATTGGCAATTCAGATGAAAGGTTGTCAACTTGGTTTTTTGAACATCAAGTTATTAGTCTTGACTTGCTTGGATAATTATCTCAACTTTCCACTTTATTCAATGAATGGAGATCTGGCTAGAAATTTGACTTGTACAACAGGATTCTTGTCATCTTGTTTGTTTGTTTTTTTAATTTATCGTCTTTGCAGAGGTGTTTGCTTTTAGGTTACCCTCAAGCTCAAGCTTTCATTAACAAGAAATGAAGATTTAAGTAGAGAGTTGAAAGGACATAACAGAATTGACACCAAGTGATGATTATTATCAATAATCAAAAGAAGCATAATAAGGCAGTCATAATTCCAGCACTAGATGCTGGTGTACAAAAGCCCAAGTTGTCTAATAGAGACTTAATCATAGTTGATCTTTAAATTTTTTTTTTAGCATTTTATGTGTCAGGTTTGTCTCATACGGAGATGAGAGGCATAATAATCTATGCTGGCTTAGAGAACATCTAGCTGCTTTGAATCAATACAGAGTCTTTCCTGAGTAGTTATTCAATAAATATATGCAATGAATGAGTGAATGTCGCTTTACTTAGCTAATTATGTTTTTGAATGTGATAAGAATGCTATTGATATATTTTGAGACTTGCCCTTCAAATTCAAAAGAATAAAAGACCAAAATAAGTAATACCTATAAAAATGCCCCAGAAGTTAAAAAAAAAAAAAAAAAGAAAAAAAAAAAAAAGATGAAAAAGGTGTCTGACTCTTAGTAGATTTTCAAAAAATATCTGTTTACTAAATGAAGAAATGACAAATACCAAAGTTTTGGGCACTAGAGAAAATGGTGATTAGTGTCTAAAAATACACATAAATGGTGAGGGAGGTATAGTATAATTTTTGGTATTGTTCATTACATTGTAAGTAGTGGGTAGGAATAGTTTAGAAAGTGAGTCAAGAAGCCACTATCATTTCAGGGAAACCACTGATTGTTTAATTATTGACAAAATGGGATTAAAATATATGTTCCTGATTCTGAGTTGTTAAAAATACCATACAAGTAAAGTATTATGAGAGTATTTTAAAAAATTAAGCTTCTATATAAATGTATCAGCATATGCTCATGCCACCATTTTTTGTTAATATATCTTATTTTAAAATTGGAGAGAGCTCCCTATTCATCTACATTTATTTTTCTATTTCTAACTTTATTAGATAGAAAAGAAGTAACTACACAATGTCCTCCATCCATCATTGCCTAATTGAGATTCTCACTTCTTTCAAGGGAGTAAACTTGAGGTTTGCTATATTATACAGGAGTGCAGGAAAGGCCTCACTACTAAGGTGATGTGTGAGTAGAGATATGAAAGAACTGAAGAAACAAGCTTCCATAGATATCTATCTATCCACAGATATCCAAAGGAATGAGTGCTTTAGGCAGAATAGCAAGTATGGAGGCCCTGAAATGGTAGAGTTCATGGTATATTGGAGAAAGAGTAGAGACCACTGTGGTTGGAATAGATTGAGCAAGAGGAGAAGTATAAGAGCTGAAGTTAGAGAGGTGAGTTTTTGCTCTGAGTGGGTTGGGGAATCACTGTAGTGTTTGAGTTGAATTTGAGTGTTTGAGTCTGATTTATGACTTAAAAGGATCTTTCTGGCTGCGGTGTTTAGAAGAGATTGTAGGAAGGCAAAGGTGACAGCATGTAAACTAGTGTGCACGTATAGGTGCACAGCATGTAAACTAGTATGAAGTTATTGCAATGATGCAGGGAATAGATGATGGCGGATTGGATCAGGGTGGCAGCCCTGGAGATAGTGAGAAGGGATGAGATTCAGGGAGGTTGTGTTAGTAGCTTGAAACTGGCCATGGTGAGAATACTTAACACCTCAGAAATTGCAAATGCTACAAATTTGGCCTTGATTTATTGTTTTTTTTTTCCTGATAAGAAAGCGATAAAGGATATGTTAATAATGCAAGCACAAGTTAAAAGCATACTGTATGTGTAGCTGTTACATTGTGATTAGTACAGAAATTGAGGAAATATTTGTCCACTAATCAAAAGTATCTGATTCAGCAAATAAATCACATAATTGATGGAGTGAGGTTTTCAAGCCTATCTTTTAAAAAAATTTTTATTTTGCTAATGTAACAAAAGAATTAACCAACATTTATGTTGGGACTACATTAATTAATTACAATCCTAAATTGGCTGTGATTATTCACATTTGGCAAAAACCAACAAGAATAGTCTTGAGAATCAACTGACCTACAGAATGTACAATAAAAAGTTATATATCTTATTTTTAGACTGGGTGCTTGCTGTATATCCCTGAATCAGTAAAATTTATAATAAATTCATGTATACATATAGGTGCACACATTTTATTTTTTCCTCAACTACTTGTTAAACATTTACCAACCTGTCTCTGCTTAGAAACATAGTGAATAAAATATCTTCAGGAGTGCAATAGTATCAAATGCTGCTGATGGGTCAAGTGAGACGACAGAGAATTGAACACTGGGTTTAGTAATGTAAAGATGACAGATGACCTTGACAAGAGCTGTCTTAGTGAAATTACAGGAAAGAAATGTCTGATTAGAATGGTATCAAGAGAGAATGAAAGGAAAATAAGTGGAGACAGTGTTTCAAGCAATTTTTCTGAAGAGAACAGAGAAATACGGATATAGTTAGTTGGAGAAAAATGAGGGGTCCAGGAATGTTTTAGAGATCACTGAAATTACAGTTTATTTATATCCTAATGGTAATAACTGAATGGAGAAGAAAACGATTGATGATGGAACAATGTCCTTGAGTAGGCAAAAGAGGTTGGGTTCCACTGCTCAAGTAGAGGAGTTGACCTTAGAAGGACAAATATTTTCTTCATAGTAACAGAGGGGAGGGCAGAATATATGGGTACAGTTACAGGTAAGTCAGTAGATATTATGTGAGAAGCTTGTGGAAGTTGTCTTGGTTTTCCATGAAACAGGAAGTAGTATCATCAGCTGAGAATGGCTGTGAGGAAAAGAATTGGAAGTTATGGGAGAAGGAAGGAGGTATAAAATAAAGTACTCAACAAATATAAGCTTTTGTTTTATAACATTGATTATATAATATTACATAATCTTGGTATTTAGGCTATTTTTGAAAGTGTAGATTGGAAGAGGAAGAGAGTCTTTAAAACTCAAGGACAATTGTCACCCACTGCATGCAAAGGCAGTGTTACCCTGGTGACTTTTTCAAGAATATTTTGTCTTGTGAGGGATGAAGACATTATTCAAAAAGTCATAAAATAACAAGATCTGTTTTAAAAATGCCAACAATATTTGTGTAGGCAAAATGGTTTAGTAGAAGGGAGATAGTGATTAATTTTTAACCACCAGAAATGGCTTTTTGGAGAAAGAGCATTTGAGTTAAGTATACATTAAGGAAAGGAAGGTTTTCAGTTGACTTATTGATTACTTTGTGTGTGTGTGTGTGTGTGTGTGTGTGTGTGTGTGTGTGACGCGCGCGCGCGCGTGTGTAGAGGGAAGTGGAAAGAAAAAGTGAGTAATCCATTATCACTTGGGCACTTTGTGTGTGTTGGATCGGGTGAAGCATATACTGGGAAATAGGGCTGAAAATATTGATGGCAAATTGATCATGAGTAGGAGACTTCAAAGGTCATGTTAAGGAATTTGGACATTATTTTGTAGGAAGTCATCAATTTTAAGATCTTTTTTCTGATAAGAGAGAATTACATCTAATATGAACATCTTTTGACCAGCATTGCATTCTTTGTTTTTTGATTCATAGTGGTAGATTCTTTTGGAAGACAGGACTATAAAAATAAAAGTGGGTTATTGAAATTAGGCATTGAGTGTAATTATCACTTTTTATGATAGTTTGTAGAATTTATGATTATTTATTAAATCATTTTATGTCATGAAATAGAAGCTCTATTAGAGAATAGTATGATTTAGCTTTCTATTTTTGATAAGACAGTAAGATAGAATTTTAATATCATGTTTTGCAGATACTGACAGAGCTTTATTGTTGCTGGAAGAATACTGCAAAAGATTAAGAAAACCAGAGGAGCAGCTGTTGAAAAATGCTGTTAAAAAGGTGATGGATATATTTAAGAGCAGTTTATTCCAAGCTTTGCTAGGTATGTATTACAAAATTTATTCATTATCTTATTGGTCACATTTGGGCTTGAGAATTCGAATAATGTGATCAAGAAAACTGATGTTAGCCAAGTTTCAAACTGAGATAATTTTCCTTAACATTGGAAGGGAAGATTTTTTGTTTCTTTTCTTTTTTTTTTTATATATAAGGTTAACCTAAAAAAGAATTGTTATATAATAGAAATAAAGAGCCGGGCTCGGTGGCTCAGCCTGTGATCCCGCGCCTTTAGGAGGCTGAGGTGAGTGGATTGCCTGAGCCCGCGGGTTCGAGACCTGCCTGGGCAGTGAGACCTCATCTCTACAATAAATCAAAAAAGCAGCCGGGCATGGTAGCGCATGCCTGTAATTCCGGACTCGGAAGGCTGAGGCGGAAGGATCGCCGGAGCCCAGCAGGTCGAGGCTGCGGTGGCCGGGAGCGGCCACTGCACTCCAGTCTGGGTGACAGAGTGAGACTCCAACTCAAAAAAAAAAAAAAAAAAAAAAAAAAATAAAGAATAGGTTTTGAAAATATAAATATTGATATAATGTTTTACATAGGAAGAACATTTTACACAGAAGAAAAATCAGAGAAGTTTATCGTAAAAAAATTAAGGTCAAATATAGTAGAGAAGGAAGTTGCCTTCCACTAGAGAGGAATTGTCTAACACATAAACGATGGGTTGTGTTCTACTTGGATAGAATCAATGTTCTGCTTTTACTCTTTTCTTAAAGCAAAGATAAAAACACTCTTTTCATATTTCTTGCTTCTCTTAGGAAGGCTTATGATCCAGAATTGAAAAGTTTATTGATGAAATTCTTAATACTTTGGAATTGTTATCAATTTGTCATGAATCTAACCACATAATGCTGAAAGATTGTGAAGAAAATCGGGATATATTTGTTTATGGATGTCTTTATACATACATCTTTTGTATTTATGCATGCAGATAGCTTTTAATTATTTTTTAGGATTTTTAAAGAGATAAACTAGCAAAAGATATAAGTAAACAAATACTTCCCCCAACAAAAACAACCAACTAACTAAACGATTAAGAAAACCCCTCTCAGTTATACTATATATTTTACTGGACTTAAACAATAAATTTTAAAGAAATAACTGAGTGTACTAGACATTTTTATTGCTCTTTTAGGTTGTGGCTATTGATATAAAATGAAATTTATAAGGTTTAGTTATAAAATACTTTGTTTCTATTATAAATATGTATACCTTTTTATAAAACTTCAACTTTATAGTTTGAATCTAATTTTACAAACCATTACATTTTGAAAATTTGAAAATCAGTCTATTGAATAAAAATGGAAGTAAAAAACCTTATAGGATTATTTTGCCTGTGGATTAATTTAAAAAAAAATATTCTTTTGTGGCCAGTAAGAATTAATGACACAAATATCTGTAATCATCTTAGCTGGTATTAAATAAAAACAACTCTAAATGGAGTCTTACAGAATTTAAATAAACCCTGTCATTAGAGAATGGTATTTTAGAGAACATTCTTAAACCACAAATTCTCAATTAAAAATTAATAGTGTCATCTAGTTGATATTTAGTAAAAGACCATTAACTAAATGGTAATGTGTCTAAGTAGAGTCACATGATGATGTTAGTTAAGACTGGCTAAGTCTTTTGAGAATTTGGGCTTTCGAGAACTTAATTTAGGAAGACTATGTTGAATGATTGAGAAAAATCTACTATATTCTGATAATGTAATCATTTGATAACAAAAACTATTAAAAGGACAAACGAGTGACAAAGAATTGTGTTTTACTATATTTTAAGCAAATGATGAATATCTTGGCTTAAAGCCTATAGTGTAGCTTGAATTTTTGTAATAAAATGAGAGGCAACAATAATCTGTAAAAAGCTGTTATGTAAGTAATCCCAATGCCCAGCTTTGAATGGATAGATTTGATTTGGCTGGTCTTTAAAAGTCATTTTGGGATTAAACCAGAGTGCAAAGAATAGAGCAGTATTATACAACAAAACATAATTTTCAACTGAATTCTATGTGGATGCCTAAATACTGATTATTAATTTATTATTATTGAACATTTGAGTGGTCTCACTGTGCATTTACTTTAAGGACACAAAGAAGAAAAGCCAAATAGATTTGTATGTCCTGAAGGTGATTTATATCTTTAAAAAAGGATAGGCAGGGAACCCTTGATAGATAGGGTATTGTTTTTGATCTTTAATTTATTTTCTGTTTGAACCAACTCTCTACCCAATTAAAAAAAATGCTGAAGTTAGTGGCGTCACCTATTATTCTGATATTCCGATAACCAGTGCATTGAAATACCTTACGTGAATATCAATAGCTGTGGAGATAGGAGGGAATCACAATACAGAAAAATTAACACAAGTGAATAATAAAATGAAATAATATTACTATGTGCTATAACATTTGCATGTGAACAAGAAACCAAGCCCTCTCTCTACAGATAAAAAGCATCACTTTAAAATGAATACTGTCTTCCTTTTGTGGTTCTTCAGCATATGCTTACAAAAACACTAGTACGTTTTAGATAGTATAATCTCTGAGGACCAGAGTTCTGTGTATATAACTGTGGCTGGTATTATAGTGTGTAAAAGCATCTTATAAATGAGTTCTGTGATAACATGGTGAAAGATGATAGCAAATGTGCTATGTTTTTTAAAATTTAAAAAATTATAACTTTATCTGATTATGAAAGTAGCATGTATTTATTTTGGAAATATTTTTAAAATTAAAAAAGTAAAATAATATAAAATTTAATGATATACATTATGTTTATGGTAAATAGCAAGATATCTGATAAGCGTGGAGAATGATGAACTGTTGATTAACATTGTTCCTCCTTACTTTTGGAGTCCCTGCATTATTTGTTTTGTTTTTATATTTATTGCCAATAACTGATAGTTGGAAAAAGTACTTTAATTTTTTGAAAGTTAGCAATGAATGTTCATTAGTGTACCAAAATGAAACAAAACAGAGCAATCCTAAAACAGCAATATGCCAGAAGTTGCACATTTAAATGTTAGGCTTAGGGTGACATCTTGTGGTAATACTAAGGAAAAGGAATTATCTAATGAATAATTACAGTTTTATGGTGATTAGAATATCAACGCTTTTCAGAATTTGAATACGTGAATTGTAATTCCATGATATTTTACAAATTAATTTATGTCTGTTTTATTTAGAATAGCTGAAACATTCAGACTCTCAAGGTACTTTATTAGGTTACTTATTCTCCATTTAGACAACGAAGGAGCAAGATGGAACATTTTTATTATTTTTGTCCTTCTCTTCCAAATTTACTTTGAAAATGTGAAGATCTATATTACTACTATCATTATTTGTGAAAACTATTTTAATTATATTATAGATCAGTTCATTTTAAGATATGTAAAACAAAGGTTCTTTACAACTTATTGAAAATTATGTTATTCTTTAGTCATTATTTATACAAATATGGAAAGAACTACATATGTATTTCAGAGATTCCAGCTCCTTCTAAAGTCTTATTAGCTTTTTAAAACTAATTCATTTCCTTTTATTTCTCCATGGTGTTTGAGGGGGAATTTTGGGTAAAGACTTAGACGATAACAGGCAGTAAATTAATACTTTACTTAAAACTCTACCAGTAGCAAAATCTTAGAGAAGTACGCATTCTGTTATATAGAGACAGTTAAACCTTAAGTTTTTGTGTTACAATAGAACACATCTTATTTCTTTTTAAAACAAATTTTTAATTTTTAATTTTTTTTTAAGTGAGAAAGTAGGATTTATTGAGAGGACAGAGAAGCTCCCACAGTGGGAGGAGACCCGCAGGGGCTGCCCAACAAATTTTTAATTTAATTTAATTTAATTTTTATTTTTAATTTTTTTGAGTTGGAGTCTCACTCTGTCACCCAGACTGGAGAGGAGTGGCTGCTCCCGGCCACCGCAGCCTCAACCTGCTGGGCCCCGGCGATCCTTCCGCCTCAGCCTTCCAAGTAGCTGGAACTACAGGCGTGCGCTACCACGCCCGGCTGATTTTTTGATTTATTGTAGAGATGAGGTCTCACCAAGTTACCTGTGGGCTCGAACCTGCGGGCTCAGGCAATTCACTCACCTCGGCCTCCCAAAGAGCAGGATTACAGGCTGAGTCACCGAGCCTGGCTTAATTTTATTTTAAAGATGTGAGGTACAATTCAGGATTAGGTATACAAGTGGCCATCATACAGGTAAAGTTTGGGCTTCTCTTCGGCCCCCACTTCGCCTGGTTTGAGATCAGGTACCCTTATTGATGTTGTGTCCCCTCTTCTTTCCTTGGCAGTTTCTCGCTGCTGCCAATCCCTTTCTTATAGTAGTGTGATAAATGTTCAGGGTCAGTTTATGAGTGAGAACATGTGGTACTCAGTTATTTATTTCTGTGATAGATCACTGAGTATGATAGACTCTAAATCCACCCAAGTTGCTGCAAAGTTCGTAATTTTGTCATTCTTTACAGCTGCATAATATTCCATCATGTATATGTACCACTTAAAAAAAATCCAGTCCACTTGCTATGGGCTACACGGTTTTGCTATTGTGAATAATACTGCTATAAATATGCAGGTATCTTTTTTATAGAATGATTTGCATTTCTCCAGGTGTGTTCCCAGGAGGAGGATTGCTGAGTAATGTGGAAGATCTTTTAGAGTTTTTTAGGAATTGCCACACTGTTTTCCACAGAGTTTGTACTGGTCTACACTCCCACCAACAGTGTAGAAGCATTCCCTTTTCCCCACATCCTCTCCAGCATCTGTTGTTTTTTGAGTTATTGATGATGGTTACCATCCTGACTGGGGTTAGGTCGTATCTCAGTGGCTTTAACTTGAGACTCAGCATTTTTAATATATCTGTTGACATCTTATTTCCATAAAACTAAAAGAGAACTCTGCAGATACTTGAGATTACTAGCAATAGGGGTGATACA